CACCGTGAATGAAGGTTTCATTTTAAAAGTAGGAGGAGTGAAGAATCAAAGGTTTATAGCTTCACAACAATCAAAAGTAACAAAAAAATTAAAAAAAAAAAGAATTAAAAGAAAAAAAAAGTACAAACAGTAATAAGAAGAATCATCTTTTGTATTGGTGATTTTGAATTTCGTACACAGACTAAGCACATGACCCCTCTGCTGTCAGACCTTCTTGATTCCTTCTCTCTCTCAATTTTTAGCTTTTTCTGCCTTTGTTCTTTGCAAGAAGTTACCATCCCTCTACTTTATCCCCCCCTTGGCTTTTCCTTTTCCGCTCTCTCTCTCTCTAAAACCCCTACTTTATTCCTCTTGAACTCACCCCTAAAAGACGATCCTCCCTCGATCCTCCTTGTGTTCACAAACAACATACCTTCCCTTTCTCTCCTCATCTCTCTCTCTCTCTTTGAATACTCAAAACCTAGAAAGCAAAGCCGACCACACACTGTGTCTTTTGCTCCTTCGTTTGTTTGTTTGTTTGTTTTTCCATAGAACCACCTTATTATTGTTGCTATTATAGCATGAGCAATATTGTTCCAAACAACAACTTTTGCTGAGAAAGAGAAGTTTTCTTGCTGTCTTATACATCCCAAAAAAAAAAAACCAAACATATATGGCATCACCTTCTGAACTAACCCTTGACTGCAAGCCCCACAGTTATTCTATGCTATTGAAATCTTTTGGTGATCAGCAGATTGATCAAACCCAGAAGCTTGAAGAATTCCTTTCTCGCCTCGAGGAAGAACGCCTCAAGATCGATGCTTTCAAGCGCGAGCTTCCCCTTTGCATGCAACTTCTCACCAATGGTACGTATGATCTTTTTTTTTTTTGCATTCTTCTTGGTAGACAGAAAAGGTTTATTCAAGGATCTACTACATGCCAGGATTAATTTTACATTTGACCCTTAAAATTGATAATATATTAATGGTTTAATAATAGAATCATCATCACCTTAAGATCCAAAATGACAATAAAGAAATTCTTTTCCTAGCTACTGGTGGATATTCATGTTCTTTGGGTTGATGTGCTAGCTTCCAACCTTTTTCTTTTACTACTATCTTTTTGATTTATAGAAGTTAGAGTTAGCTTTCTTATTTGTATATCTTTATTTGCTAGTCCAATCTGTTTGAATTCAGAGGGGCCCGACATATGCATACATTTTCTAAAGAACTAAAGCCAGAATGAAATGTCCAGGAGAAAAGGACTCACTAATAATTGTTTTTCCTTTTTTCTTTTCTTCAGCTGTGGAGGCTTCAAGGCAGCAACTACTGGCATGCCGATCAAATCATGGATCAAGACCAGTTCTTGAAGAATTCATGCCCCTGAAAAACTCAAACTCGGATAACTCAGAGAAGTCACAAAACATATCTGATAAAGCAAACTGGATGACAACTGCACAACTATGGAGCCAAGCGGGAAATGAAACGAAACCACAATCTTCAATTACATCCCCTAAAGAAACTGAGATCGGTTTCAGTGTTAGTCCCAAGCTGGCCTTAGATACGAAGCCGAGGAATGGAGGAGCTTTCCTTCCATTTACCAAAGAACGAAACTCATGCCCTGGTTCGGCTTTACAAGCTCTTCCTGATTTAGCTCTTGCTTCTGCCAATAAAGATATGGAAGATAAGAAATGCCCAGACACCGAAAATGGCATGTCTTGTCAACGGAGAGAGAACTCTGGCAAAGTTAGCAACGGCGGAGTTGTGATCGAGCAAGGAAGAGGAACGGGTAACACAGTTGATGGGCAAACGACAAATACTAACCCTAGTGCAAACTCTACTCAACCTCATAGGAAGGCAAGGCGATGCTGGTCACCTGACTTGCATAGGAGATTTGTCAATGCTCTCCAGTTGCTTGGGGGCTCTCAAGGTATGACAAATTTCTTCTGTTTTCTTTTTTGATAATTGGTTTGATCATTATTCGTGAAATTATGTAACTGAATTGATCAGTATGAAAGTCAAGCTATCATTATCAAAATCATTAATTCTCTGAAAGTAATATTCTGATGATGGTTACAGTTGCCACACCAAAACAAATCAGGGAGCTGATGAAGGTTGAAGGTTTGACCAATGATGAAGTGAAAAGCCATCTGCAGGTAACTCTCTCTCTCCAGTACTGAGGCATGCAAGAAACAGCTTTTGTACAAAACCTGACAAAGCGCAACACTGCACACAATGTCTGATAAGTTAAAAAATGTCGGTGTAAATCTTTTAATCTTCTGATGATTTTTGTTTGACCCTTTATTAACAGAAATATAGGCTTCATACGAGGAGACCAAGCCCAAGTCCACAAGCAGCAGGAGCCCCAACACCCCAGCTTGTGGTCCTAGGTGGCATCTGGGTCCCACCAGAGTATGCCACTGCCGCAGCAGCCGCCCACAGTGGGGCCCCCACTCTGTATGGAACTCACCACCCAGCAGCTCCCCATGCACCACCTCACTTCTGTGCATCACCTGTGCCCCAAGAGTTCTACACTGCAGCAGCTGCGGCCGCAACCCCAGCTCCACCACCACCCCAGCTGCACCACCACGCCATCCACCACCAGCTCCACATGTACAAGGCCAACTCACAGGCCCATAGCTCACCGGAATCAGACGTCAGGGGAGCCGGAGACCGCTCTGAGAGCATTGAAGACGGTAAGTCTGAGAGCAGCAGCTGGAAAGGTGAGAGCGGCGACAACGGTGGCGCTGGAGAGAGAAAAGGGTTAGCTGCATTAAGAGAAGAAGGTGAAGAAAGCAATGGTAGTGAGATCACTCTCAAATTCTAAGAGAGAAAAAAAAAACCGGAAGTTTTAGGGTTAGGGTTAGAGTTTAGGTATTCCGTGTAATCATGTGCTATTATAATTATTATTATTATTAATTACGTTCAAAATTACTAAAAAAAAATTACGTTAAATATGAAGACAGGGTAAAAAGGGCATAACGGAAAAGTGAGTTGTAGTTTTGTTCAATTGCTTCCTTTTTCTGTGGTTGAATGTCTTATTCGAGATAAAATTGAACATTGGATTATTTGTTTTTGGCGTTCTCTGTGATTTTTCACTTTTGCATCCATGGACTGATTTGCCCTTAAATTTTCTAGATAATCTCCGCCGTCACAACGCTAATTTGGACGAGGCACGTTCTTGACGCCTGGCTGCAGACAAAAAACGTCCATGCTTCCTTCTTTCCAAAAGCAATCATTACGACCGACAATCAATGGATATTGTTAGAATTTTTACAAATAAGAAATTAATCATGTTATAAAATAGGATCATGTGGATGGATAATTGAATAATTTGAAATAAACGTGTGAATGATGATATCAATAAAATTTTTACATAATATATCAAAAATTTTAAATTATTTAAAAAATTTAAATAAATTATTATATTTTTGTTATATTCAGCTCTTATATTTTTATTTTAAATTAAATAAATTTTTTTTATTTTGAGATAAATAAATTTTTATGATTAATTATTAACTTAATCAGAATATCATTTGTTATTTTTTGTCACATGTCGCTAATGTACTATGCTAAAATATTATCATTGATTATGATATGGATATGTTATAATTGATGATGACATGATATACTGATTTGATATAATAACATGATCATGTAATATTTTTTATTTTTCATGTCAATTTTATATGAGTGTCATGTGGATATAAAATGACAAGTAATAATTTTATTAATAACAAGTAGTTAATCATTAGTTATAAAAGCTTATTTAACTCAAAATAAAAATATGAGAACTTGATTAAACTAAAAAATAAAAACATATTTAAATATTTTTAAATAATTTAAGAACTTATTTGAGCCTTATGTTCAAATTTTTTCCATTTATTATTGAAATTGTCTTGGAACGGTGAGTTTAAACAAAATTAAGAGCAACTAGATTAGTTGTACTTGTCCCTAAGATTAAGGAAGTTAAAATTTTATTTAAGAAAAAAAGGCATAGAAAGTGTGTCAAATTCCTTTACACCCAGCCAGTCCCCCCATAAACTTTCTTGAATATACATGAGCAGCTCTCTCTTTATTGCTTTTTCTTGTTTAATGAACAGTGCCTTTAGTCTTTGACCAATTTCCACAAAAATACATTTTAACTTGGGGTTAAAGCACATATGACATTGAACATCAACTTTCTTGTACCTTCCCTTTCTGTTCAACTAGAATTTGTATGCTTGTTTCTTTTCAAAATTTCTATGAAACAAGAGCGAATGGAAGAAATAACTCTTTGGACTTTAATGGAATTTATGATTCTCCTCTTCTTACATTTAAGTTGACTTTCTAATATAGCAGGATCGCAGGGTTTAGGGCAAGAATTTAGAAGAAAGCGGCAGGGCCTCTTTCGGCAGACACATCCCAAGGATTCGCATATTGTTTACACTTTACGTATCATTGCATCAACATTGCCAAGGCTGGGCATGATTACTTTGTTTATAAAATTATTACTTCATTCACCATGGTGAAAAATTGACCCAGTAAAAAAATTATCATTGTTGATTTGACATTTTTTGACGTGGGATCCCAGCCGCCTTTTTCTTCCAAATTGTCCTACAACAAAAATGTAGATGTTACAAAGTTGTTAGATACCCACATCATTCCTTGCATAACACAGAAATGGAGTTCCCGTATTCCATATTCGCCTGTATATTTAATTCAACTGTCAAGACTCGACCAATCTTCAAAGCCAGAGGTTCTCTCTTCTTCTTAGATAAAGGCATGGTCTGTTATTGAAACATCTTGGGCTGGCCGCCTAGACCTGCAGGAAAGCAGTCATCTAATAGGGTGATGGGTGACCATTGGGCCACAGGCACACGGCCCATAGTCGATTAAGACAACCTGGTTATAGAGCCCGTTTGGACGTGCGGGGGTCCAGCGCCGTTTAGGAGGCCAGTGACGTGAAGGTTTCCCACCGAACGGCCCCGCACGTCCAATCAGGCTTAAGTAACTGAATCATCCATTCAGGTAGAATTTGCAGCAGCAGATGACAAACATTAATAACGACCAGAAAGCATGGTCTAATAACACTCCAGATATCAGTATATACATCTAAATTGAGGAGCTAGCTTAATACTTCAATCTCCCGATGCTCTATTTACATAAAGGTACAAGTAATCCAACCAAAGGGTAAGGCAGCGTATGTCATCTTTAAACAAATGAGACATCAGAGGATTACTAAACTCAACATAAAATCAGGCAATGCCATTTGCCAAAATACCACCCCGTACAGCCACATCATCTTCACTCTCTAGTATTGCTGAATCAACGAGGGACTGCAAGGAAAAGTTAAATGAGTGAGCATGATGAGTGCTGCCCTTTCTATCATGAACGATTACACAAAGATGCCTTTTTCTAAGCTCCTCAGATACTGAGACCTTAATCCTGCTAATCACCATATGGAACCTCACTGCTTCAAATAACTACAGAGCTATATTCGTTCACAACCATAACTACAGAACTAAGACCTACTTCAGCTGAGAAAGCTACATGTAATAAAAGGGTAGAAGCATTAATGTATGCAAGTTCCCTATATAGGGTATGTATGCAATATTTATCTAAGTAATGGGCAAAATTGACCAACCAAAAAATTGATACATATGACAAACAATAATATGCAATTATGCCACAATCATTCAAGTATTTGGCTCCAAAGCATGTTTTAAAATAAACAACAGAATAAAATAACAATTGCATGTAAATCATGACCAACAAAGTGAAGAGGCGAACCTGAAGTTCTTGTTCACAGGTTTTGAGTTTTTCTCTGTACTCCTTTACTTGCAGGAAACATTTATGCAGCTGCAGGTCACACATTTGATATAAAAAATTTTGTACCAAAAAGAAAATTTTAAATTTTATTCCAACCAAATTGCAGCAGAGAATCTCAGAGGACTACCTTGGTTAACTGCATTTTCCGGCGTGAAGAGAGCTTCTTTGCAGCAATTAATGAATCCTCCAGGGTCTGTATGAATTCAATCAAATTCTTAGTGATGAAATGAACCAGGCCAACAAAACTGAAACCATGGGCAACATGATAAATATACCTTGGATTTTTTCTGTAAATCCAAAACAATTTCTTGTCTGTCTTCTAACCTCCCTTCCATCAGCGAAATCTGATAAGTGAATAAACGTTACTTTTTCTATATATGTTTGTGTGTGTGTGTGTGTGTGTGTGTTTGTTTAGGGGGTGGGGGTGGTAAACATCTTTGTAAACACCACTCAGAAGGTGATATTCTGACTATAGTGATTGCCATGGTAGTGCAAGTGCAAGAGTGTGTATGCACCTTCTAAGTCTCACAGCAGGATATTTAACAAATGCATAGACTGTGCCTAAATTCTATTATATCTATCTATCTATACAAGATGTCTTAGAAAATCACCAAAAATATTCTAAACATGTAGCAAACCTCTTTTCTAAGTTCTTCCCGACTTTCAATCAATCCTTCTAGGTCTTTTTTCATCTGGAAACAGAACATAATTAGCAAAGGTTGAAGAAGAAATTGAGATTACACAAGTATGCGTCACAACAAAGTTGAGATTACCTGATTGTAATCATCACTTGAATCTGATGAAAGCCCTCTGCTATGGTGATCATTGTTTATAGAGCTCCAAAATAAAAATAAAACATTTTATAAAAAATTAGAGAAATAAAACTCAAGCCACTGCTAAAACGGAACTAATTCATCTGAAGGAAAACAATGCAACTTGGCTCATATAAGAACAAGGTCAAGATGGCATTAAGGATTAATTGGACAAACATATTAAATGTGGAACTGGAAGATTTCAGACTGAAAACCATTGACATAAAAATACTAACATAGATTGATATTGCAGCCATTCATTCAAACTACAATGGAATCAATATCAAGATACTGAAGAATTCCACTTTCAAAAAAACGACACAGAAGAATTCCATTACTTGTCAGACATCGTAAGAAAAATCAATAAGCATTATTTGGCAGCCTCCAATGCAAAGAATTCTTTAGAAAAAGAAAGGGGAGAAAGTTTCCTACCCATTCCATCTCAACTGCTGCTCGTTGTCCTCATCAAGACTTCTATGATAACCATTGGTTCCACTTCCATCAATCTCTCTATTTTGATCCAAACTGAGCTCATGACTCTCCCAATCCTGAATATGGTCCCTGCTTTCCCCTTGCACATTATCCTCCACATCTCTGTTAAGATCTCTATCCAATGAGTATTCCCCAGCTCTATCATGATCATGATGCTCATATCCTCTTCCTCTTCCAACATCATGGTCCCGAGACTGCTCATGCTCTTCAGACCTATCACTATATCGATCCCGATACCGTTCCCTGTCACGATCATGATCTCTTTCCCTTTCATGTCCCCTATCCCACTCACCCCGTCGAGAGCGGTCTCGATTAAAATTCAATCTGCCCCCTCTAGTTGTCACTTCATTCACTCTCACAACTCGACCATCGATAGTCTAATTTCAACAATGTCAAGTTTCAACAAGTTTGAAAACAAGAAAGAACAAAATCATAGCATGTTCCATGGAACCAACAAACAATACATACCCGGCCATTCATATCATTGATAGCATCATAAGCTGAACGAGGATTTGTAAAAGTAACAAAGCCATAGCATTTTCCTCTAGTTGAATGATCATTAACAATCTGCAAGCCAAACAACAACGACACGCTTCAATTTTTAAGAACACCCGAATGCTAGTTGAAGCTAAGAAAAGTTTGACCAAACAGAACGCAAACATTAGCCTTAAAGAAACAGGGACAAACATGATTAACTAACTTATTACTAGAAACAAGGAGTTAATAGAAGGCAACAATTTCATCACGGATAAAAATTTTCCACTAATCCCAAATTGACTCCCGAATAATAATACTAGGAAACATTTTAAAAAAATTAAAAATAAAATTACTAGAGATCTTCCATCAACTATCTTGCTGCTAAGCTATTTGAAAAAAAAAAAAAGAAAAGAAAAGACGGAAAAAGTTCAAAGAATTAAGAACAAAAAACAGAAACCCTAAATGCGTAAAAGAAGTTAGTTAAACAGTAACGATGAAGAGTCACTGCGTGGATTTGAAAATCAACGGAAAGAGGAAGACCTTCACGGCGACGACAGCGCCGTAGAGGCTGAAAACACGGCGGATTGAGGCTTCGGTGGCGTCGTAGGGGAGTCCTCCCACGTACACCGAACTGTCGTCGTCGATCGTCATTTTTCCACTTTTACTCCAAACTAAAGCTTCTAACTTTTCAGGGCCTAAAGTACAGTGGAAATAAAACTAAACAGTTTTTTATGTAAAATTATTTATTATTTATAATTTTGAAATACTTATATATATATAACTATAAAAAAAAGGATAAATAACAAAAAAACAATGCTGTGTGGTTTACCTAACGACATTACGGTATTTTCAGTTACATTTTTTTATATTTTAAAAATAAAATGATTAAATATGTTTTATTTCATTAAATTAAATATTAAAAATAAAATTTTAAAAAATCTTTAAAATTTTTAAAAATAAACTTAACAGTGTTACATAAAAAAATCTAAATATACATCAGACAATTAAATGTAAAATTTTAAATTCAAAGACACAACTTAATTCTACTTCAAACTACAACATATTTTTTATAATTAATTTTTTTAAAAAAGGTTGATGTATGCAATAATGACCCTTTTTTTGGATACCGATATTGCGACACTGAGTTATTTTCTTGTTCTCATGGTTGAATTTGTCCTTGATGGAAAGTAAAAGTAATGAAGGAAATTCTTTTGTCACGGGAAATATAGTACTTTGGATAATATTTTAATATTAATATAAAGAGTTCATTTAAATAAATATTATAAAAATCTATTAGTTCATGTTATCTTCGCCCAAAGGCCTCGCAGTTGCAAGTTCATAAGAGATTTAAACATTTTATTTACCTGAATTTGTCTAATCAGATGCTGAGACCTTAGGACATTATTCACTGAGGAAACATGGACGCTCGCATGTTACTGAACCTTTTCTGTATGTTGTGGACGGTGGAGATTTACTGCATATCATATGTCGCCAATGCTATGCTTACACGTCTGCAGAACTTGTCGAATTTCATCTCAGAATCTTTGGTTGTCGGGTTCAGACACCAGCCCGTACTATTCCGAATTAATCAAATATTTACGTGCTTGTCTTTTCCATTTAAAACTTGCACACAACATCAGGAGCCGTTTTATCCTAGCTGCCCTAGCTGCATTTTGCGAAGTAGCTTCTTTTATGATTGGGTGATAGTAGGAATTAGGGAGGGGGCACCCCCAGTCTAATTGTAGTAATAAAGTTGAAAAGAGGTAGGCATGGTGAAGAGTCACCTCATCTGTTATATGTTTCTGTTCCTTTACTTCATTCACTTTTAACAGGCTAACAGACACTTGTGTGAGATCAGGCATAGTGATGATAAAATTACTTAGACTTCATTCGGAAAGGAAAGAGTATTAGGTTGCGTGTTAATATATATTATTAAAAACATGATTACTGAGGATATAATTTTGTAATATTTAATATATTATAAAAAATAATTATTATAAAAAATATAATTATTAAAAAAATTACATTATTATATTTGATTTAAAAGTATGTTATTATAAATATAATGTAAAATTATTTTTATGTATAAAGATATAAAATTTGAATGTAATTTTAAACGTGCTTGACATTTCCTTTCTCTCATAATTACGGGATTCAAACACTTCTCCCTCTCAAATTCTCTTAACTTCTTAATAAATTATTTCAATTCTAAATTGTTTAAAGTGCTTCTCTCTTAATTTTTAATGTTAAAAACATAAATTTTTTTCAAAATATTTTTATATTTTTTAACAATTTGAGTTAAGGTTTCATAAAACCTTAAAGATCTCAATCTCTCAAATTTTCAAATTTAAAGATAAAATTTAATCCAAATGTACTAATAACCAACTAACCTTCACACAAGTGGTGAGAAAGAAAGAGAAAAAGAGGAGAAGAATATGATAAAAATAAAAAAAAAGAATCGGAAAGTTAAGTTAAAAAAAAATTTACTTTTCTTTTATTCGAAGAAAATAACTTTAAAGGGAATTCATTGTAATCACATTATAAATAGGAAAACTTTCTCATCATAACACACTAATCAAACAATGTAAAGGAATTCCTTAAATTTTAATTACAGAAAATATTCCTCACTAATCGGTTAGTAAACGCCCCCCGTAGAGGTAGGGGAGCAACCACTGATTTGAGTAAAGGTCCCGAAGCCTCTACAAGTTGGGCCAAAAAGCTAGGACTAAGCGGGAAACTGCGAAAAGAATGTACTAACTAGTAGATCCTAGGAGGACCTCGGAGAGTGGGGGACTCCTGACTTGACGTGTGAATGCGTAAGGAACAGAGTAGAAGGGCCCGCCGGATGGGCTAGGAGGCTAGGCCTAACTCTAGGTCGTCCCCTTAGTCCTTAAAGGCCTAACCCAACTGTGATGGACCTAGTCTTTCTGTCATTTGTTTCTTAATAATTTTGTTTGTTGATACGACTAAATTAAAGCATTCCAGGAAGACTGATAGAAGCAAGGAAAGCATCGGTAAAAGAACAGGAGAGGAGAGCCATTTATAGAGGCGTGCAGTGGACAAGCAGGAGAAAAGAACCTTGCTGCATTCCTGGCTTGGCAGCAAGGGTGTAAATCAGAGAAAATTTGTACAATCCTGTAACCATCCTGCGGTGTTAACAAGATGCTTGTTTATCTGAATTACATCACGGGAGATAATATTCACTCATTGTTTTTTGTTGGTGGCCTTCTTTTGACAAGAATGATGGAACAAAGTTACAAAATCTTCATCCCCATTTTTTGCGCTCTCAATGTTCCACGTACAAACAAAAGAGTGGAACAGTATGAACAATGAAGCTGATGTGGTTTTGGGGTTTTCTTGTCTCCACCACACAATGATTACAAAATCTCTCAACCAGTCATCAGCCACAACAGTGTGGCATTTCTTATCTTATCGTTGATAGCAAAAGGAATGTCGGTGAAAAGGGCGAAAAAAAAGAAAAAGATGAAAGCTCAAAAAGTAATAGTTATTACACGAAATGTAAAATGTTTTACCCATCATAGTATTGGCATCGATGGTCTGGTCCCTTTCCTAGTAGAAACAGACAAACTGGATTTGAATTGTCTGGGTCTTATCCTTAATAATGCTTTGAAAAGGAAATCTTCTCGTCTAAAAAAAATGCAGGTTTTCCTTATGATTCTGAATATACCGGTGTAAGGGAGCATCTTCTTCCCTGATTGGCTATGTGGTTTTGGTGGGATCAAATTACGACAACAATTTTAGTCTTTCTAAGCATTAACTTTTTATTACTATCCCAGCACATTGCCATTGTTGCTCATCACTAGACTTTTTCCACATTTCACGTGTCTCAAGTGGGGTTTCTTCAAGCTTTTTGATGGATCATCTTCAATGAAATAGATTTATTTAAGTGGAAGGAGGAATTGGAGGGTGATTTCCAAGCAATTGGAATTTAGCTCTTGGCTCCGACGAATACATGTATGATGCCAATTGCAAACGCTTCTGTTTGGGCGCTTGTCACAACATTCAATGGTCCTTCATCTCCTTTTAAAATCCAATCCTTAAACCATAAAAGAACATATTGATTCCATCTCTATACCCTAGCCGAATATTAACATCCTTTTTTTCCTTTTTCCTCTTTTGTTATAATAAGAATTGGTGATCAACATATTTCAAGCAGCTGATTAGTATAATAATGGAAATCAAAATTATTTTTCTCTAACATATACTGGTAGGCATCATGCCACAAGGCCAAGACCTTGCTTGTAAGAATTGTAACCCACTTCTCCCCTTGTTTGGTTTTACTTTTCAGTTTTTATTTTTCTTTCAAACATAAGAATAACAATAGGTAAAGTATCTATTAAGTTTTACATACTCGTATCTAAATCCGATTGTCAAATCTAATATTTATAACCTACTCAAACTCAATTAACAATATCTTATTAAAATTTAAACTCATTTATTTAATTAACAATAATATAAGTACTCGTTACATAACTCGATTAGACCTGAATTTAATAATAAAAATAAAAATAAATTATTTTTTATGTAATTAAAATTAAGTTATAAATTCAAATTAAATATTATATTTATAAAATTTGTAAAGTAACATATATAATATAACAATTAAAATAAATTATAAAACTATATACTTATATTCAAGTTTAGATAACAGATACTCTAAAATTATTATGAGAACCCTACCCTAAATCGTTTATAAAATACCCCTAATTTTGACTAAACAAATTAAATAATACAAAATTGCCATTTACGTGATACTCGTTGCCAAATCACATTTCAACAATCTCTTATGTTTTCACTTTCTCTGCTTTTTAGGTTGAGAAAACTTTTTGGGTCTTTTATTTTGACTGGGTTAGCCCGTCCAATCTTTAGCCCATCATTAATCCAAAATCCTGCCTCACTCTGTCCAACTATGGCACAAGCGCGCCAGCGGCTGCGCCCCGCTTCTATTCTGGTTAATTCAAAGGTGACTTCTTTTATAAAACGTCACGTGAATTGCATGGAGTCTTAATCGAGTCATGGAGGGTGTCACGATTTCAAAGAAAAGTCATGAATTTTACATAAAAGTTGATGCTTTCACGATAAATACGAAGATATTATATTTGTAATGAAGAATCATTTAAAAAAAAGCATAATTCGAGCAAATTTTTTTTTGTGAGATAATATCGTTAAGTTAATGAGTCAAAATGAATAATGTCTTATAAATAGGTGTAGTTCGTAACATAAAGTCTCTCAATTTGACCCACTCAACTGCTCGATGTAATTTTTCTAGTTAATCACCTCACCTTCTTTGCTTATTTACAATTTCGAAGTAAGCACGGTTGTTTTCCATGCATCATGGAATATTAGTCTTGGGCTTGGCTAAAGTTTTTTCTTAAGATAATGTTTGGTATGTGAAGAGTGAAACCATATTCCCTGTCAAATACTCAATTAGATTATATCACAATGTTTGTTTTGTAACAAACCATTAAAATATAAAATTACAATATAATCATATTACAACTAATAAGTGTAATGTGATTACAGTTTAAAATTACATTACACTCTGTAATTATTAAAGATATTTTTAACGTTTAATTTTGTTACTTTGTTAAAAATATTTTATAATGTTATAATTTATTTTTTTATATAGATTTCGAGGATATCTTTTTATTATTCTCAATAGTGATGGTGATTATCAATAAAATTTATATT